TTGTTCCTCAGGACCAGCCTCCAGGTTCAAGCTAAACTACCTCAACAGCTATCTGCTATCCTGCATCTGTCAGAACTTCCCTCATGCCCAAGTGTCCACTCTGCACCTCCTGCTCCTATCTCAGCTGATTTTCAGCCAGAACAACACCCACTCTGTTTATTAAAATATTTAAGTAATTCTGAACCAATTGGCAAAGAGCATGCTATGAACAGCCCAAATGCCCCAGTCCCTGCCACAGAACTCTAGACTGCCATGTTACCGTTATCCACGAGCTGGAGAGGGGGGCAACTGAGGACCCTAGGACCTTGCAGCAGAACTCTAATCACTGTCCATTCTGATTGGCCAATGTACGCACACCTCCTCTGCTGCTTTGATGGAGTCAAAGGTTTTTGTCTTTATCATTTTTCTTCACTCTTTTCTGTTTTAGTGCACACTGCAGTGACCTACACACCAGTGTGCCACCAGGTCTCTCATAGATCTCTGTCTTTCTTATATCCCAGTGGGTTTTAAAATGTGATCTCCACACCAACAGTGTCGGCATCACCTTGGACTTGAGGTGTTTTTAACCAACATTTTGTACGATACATAAAATTTGATATGGACTGATTTAAGATTTGTCAGATTAAAGTGGTGGTGATTATATAGTTTTTAAAAAATGAGTTTCTGGGGTGATGCCTGTGGCTTAGTGAGTAGGGCACTGGCCCCATACACCGAGGGTGGCAGGTTCAAACCTAGCCTCGGCCAAATTGCAACAAAAAAATAGCTGGGCATTGTGGCAAGTGCCTGTGGTCCTAGCTACTGGGGAGGCTGAGGCAAGAGAATCACTTAAGCCCAAGAGCTGGAGGTTGCTGTGAGCTGTGATGCCGCAGCACTCTACCAAGTGGCGACAAAGTGAGACTCTGTCTCTAAAAAAAAAAAAAAAGGGTTTCCATAAGGGACAGACTATTACTAGATAGTCTAGTAATTAGTAATCTAGTAATTAGTAGAGACTAATTTAATTTAATTAAAAAGAATTTTTTTTGAGATGAGGTCTTCCTATGTTGCCTAGGCTATCTCGAACTCCTGGCCTCAAATGAGCTTCTCACTTCAGCCTCTCCAGTAGCTATGATTATAAGCATGAGCCACTGAACCAGGCTTAATTTTAATTTTCAAAGATATACCTTTGAATTAGGATAGCCAATTGAAAGTTAATATAGTGCTAGTGAGAACAGCTATTACTGAGCACAACTTGGTGTTCTTTTTTTCTGTCAGTGGCAGCTTGATTGGTGTTTGTGGGAGACATTTCAGAAAGGAAACTGATTTTTATTGAATATCTACTATGTGCCAATCATTATTAACAAGTGTCTGAATTAACCCTTGAGAACTTGCTGTCTCAATTAACCCTCAAAACACCATGAGATAGTGTCCCCACATTGTACTAATGAAATTGAAAACCAAAAGTAAATGATAGTCTATTGATTTATTGATTTTATAAATTACTCAGAGAATCACTAATGGTTTAGAAGTACAAGATGGCTAAACACTTATTTACTTCTGTTATTTTTACAAATGAGGACAGTGGCAGGTTGACAATCACATTGCTGGATAGGTGGTCCTAAAACACAGATGCTTAATTTAAAATATGCATAAAGTGTAAATACTCAAGAGTCTAGAGTCCTGCGGATGCTAGACTGTCTATTTGTTAACAAATAACTGGCATGTTTGCAGTTGGTCAAACAAATTGCTCAGATAGGATTTTAAATGTTTACCTAAAAACTCCCAAAACAAGAAAAATGTTGAGATTCTACACTCCCTTATTCACAAGGTGTAGGTGTACTTGACTTTGCCATATGAGCAATTAGGGTAAGTTTAGACATGTAACTAACATTTTGTATAAATCACCAGGAAACTTGTACTCTCCTATTTGTACACTCAAAAAAAAAAAAAAATCTAGCTCCCTCCTGCTTGATTAAATGAAAGTCTTTCATTGAGGCCAGGTGCCTTGTCTCGCACCTGTAATCCTAGTACTATGGGAGGCTGAGATGGGAGGATTGCTTGAGTTCAAGAGTTGGAGACCAGCCTGAGCAAAGTGAGACCCTGTCCTTACCAAAAACAGAAAAAATTAGCTGGTGTGGTGGCATGTGCCTGTAGTCTCAGCTATTTGGGAGGCTGAAGCAAGAAGGGTGAGCCCAGGAGTTTGAGCTTGCAGTGAGCTAGGCTGATGCCATGGTACTCTAGCTTGGGCAACAGAGTGACACCCTGTCTCAAAAGAAAAAAAAAGTCTTTCAATTTGGTCAAATCAAAGTCTTATATTTGGAGTTAGTTGGAAT